AAATCACAATGAGATATTACTTCACACCTGTTAGGATAGCCATGATAACAAAACAAAGCAAAACAAAACAAAAGAGAAAACAACAAGTGTTGAGAAGGATGTGGAGAAACTGGACCCCCTGCGCACTGTTGATGGGAATATAAAATGGTGCAGCTGCTATGGAAAATGATATGAAGTTTCCTCCAAAAATTAAAAATAGAACTAATGTATGATCCAGCAATCCCTCTTCTTGGTATTTATTCAAAAGAATTTAAATAAGGATCTCAAAGAGAGGTTCGTACTATTATGTTCATTGTAGCATTATTTACAATAGTCAATCTAAATGTCCATTAACTGATGAATGGATAAAGATAATGTGGTATATTCATACAATGAAATATTATTCAGCCATAAACAAGAAGGAAATCCTCTCATATGCTCCATGGCTTGAGCCCATTATGCTATGTAAAATAAGCTAGTCACAGAAGGACAAACACTGCGTGATTCCTTCACTTATATGAGGTATCTGTTATAAAATAATCAAACTCATCAAAGCAGAAAGTAGAATGTTAGTTCCCAGGGGCTGAGGGGAGGGGGAAATGCTGAGCTGCTGTTCAATTGGTATAAAGATTCAGTCATGCAAAGTTAAAAAGTTCTAGAGATTCTCTGTAGAACAATGTGCTTATGATTAGCAAGACTGCACCACACACTTAAAAATTTGTGAAGAGGATAGATCTCATGATCTCACGTTATGTATTTTTTACCACAACAAAAAAAGTCAATGCACCTCACAATAGCAATCACAGAAATGCAAATAAAAAATTTTCACCTGTCAAATTAGTAAAGACTTTAAAATGCTAGTGAGAGTTCCCTGAGGCAGCCTCTCATTTACTGCTAGTTACAGCATAAATTGGCAAGCACAACCGTTTTGAAAAATGCTTTAGAAAAAGGCATCAAAGGTCTTAAAAATGTTTATACCCCTTGATGCAATAATTTTACTTGTAGAAGTCTGTTTTCATGAAGTAATAACAATATAAATATGTTTATTTATGAGAGCAAAATGTAGAAATCTTCCAACTATTTCATAAGAAGGGAATGCTTAATAAATGTTGATACTTATGATGAAACAAAAATGCTTGTGAAGTTTTAGTTATAAGAGAAAACTGCTCTCGATATAGTATTAAGTGTAAAAAGGCAGGATAACAAACTTTACAAAGGGTGATTACATATAGTATTACCACCATGTCAATAAAATTAAAAATAAAAAAAGAAGGAAATATACAAAAACGATAAATAGGGTTGTTCTTGGGCAATGAGACTATGGACAATGTAAAACAAGATTTTTAAAAAATCCTTTTTCCGCATGTTTTCCAGATTTTTACAAAGAGCTCACGTTACTCTCTCAATTAGAAAACAAACAACAAAAAGAGATGATTTAAAAATCAAATGTAATCTAAGATTCCGTGAAAAAATATATTGTGTCCTGATCAGTTTGTCCAAACATACATTTTTGAAAGTGTGTACTTGCTCTTTATTCTTTGCAAACATACACATGTGTAGGATGTAGAGTGATCAAAAATTAGACTCTTTATTCTAGAAATACTGGAAGGTATTTGATTGATTTTATTTAAGGTATGCTTAAAACAAATATAAACTTTTTCTCTAAATCTTTTGATTCTAACATAAAAGAGGTAGACACAACAGGGGGAGAAATCCGGAGAAAACTTTACATTATTCGTTTGTATAGTAAACATATGGTCTCTGGTAGCCCAAGAGATAGCATCAACTCCCTCTGGAATACTATGGGTGGGTCATCCTCTTCAGGACAGTGGTCTAGGGGGCACATAAATGGAATGGTGAGCAGGGAGGGCACAGAAGGGTCTGCCCTGGCAATCAAGGCAGCCAAACCCACCCAGGCTTTCAGTGGGTTGGCAGATGGCATAGCCAGATTGTCCCACCAGCCTGGAGCTACTAACTAAAACAATTACATTCCAGAGGGGATAAATTTATGCTACAATCAGATTCTTAATATTAGCCGGGGATGGTGGGGGTCATTTTCTAATTCATTTAAGTTGTGAGCAGGTAACTCTGATAAGGGATGGGCATGGAAAGGATGGAATTGGCTTCTTTAGGAACACACGCCACTGCCAACTTTCTGAGAAAATCAAGTAGTATTAACCCCCTCCCCGCAAGCCTCACCATTTGATTTCACCTCAGAAGTGTTCTTTTTACCTTTATTCATATTTTTTTCCCTTGAAATCAGAGAAAGCAAATTTGGGGACCTTGGGGCACAGTCTAGAAAATAGACATGGTTTTCATAGGCTCATGCTGTATTTAAAGAAAATTAAAAAGCTTGAATGAACTACCAACAGTGAAAAATTGAGAGATTTGGCATAATCAGGATTTGAGGCTTTTAAAAAAATTAAATCTAGCAAGAATGAGTTGTCATTGACACGTGGCAACAATCAGCTAGAGATGAGTGGCAGATGCCCCTTTACATGGCACCCGCCCACCAATGTGCCACAGTCCCCACTCAGCCCATTTGCTCATTTGGATTTCCATGCTTGGCCTCTGTGTGTATTCCCAACTCTGATTAATAGAATTGCTCTTACCAGTCAGAAGCTTTCAGGGCTCACAGTGATTCACAGAACTGATCTACTAGCCTTGAGCTGCCTAGCATAAAAAGCCTCCATTGACACAAAAACTCATTCAAAGCAACACTTCCTGTAAGTGACTCTGATAAAGACAGACCTGATTAAGCACTATAAACATGCTCAAAGATGCGCTGGGAGAGTAGAAAGAGAGAGATCCCCCTCTGGAAGTCAGGAGTGCCATCGACACATAGCTAGAATGGAAGGCCTTGGAAGATTAGGATATCCTATGGGAAACTCTCAGCCTAGTGTTTAGAACTTAGTAGGAGGTTAATAAATATTTGTTTCCATCTTCCTAAGAGCAGATGCAGAGCACAGCAAGGAGGAAATGGAGCCAGAACAGTGTAATGCAATGCACAAAAGCACAGCATGCCAAGAGAGAAAGGGGAAGGAGGTAATTGTAGCCTAGAGAGCAGAACAGCAAGAGAATAGGCCTACAGAAGTCAGGGAGGCTTGCACAACTGCACCACAATTCTGATGGATCTTTGAGAGACACACATCCATGTGGTAAGTAGGGGCATATAGTAGATGAAGACATTAATCAAGCAGAAATTCAGAAGGAGATTCACACTGACACTTGTGAGGAGAAAGAATTCAACTCTTTAATGGATTGTTGGTTAAAACTATAACAAATTTTTCTTAACATATAAAAAATGCAAAGAATATTTAAAATATGCAGAATAGCTATATCAGTTGAAATATAGAATTTCTATAATTAGCTGAAATAAATTAACTGTTTAATAAAATTTATTTTGGGCTTAGCGAAGGTGTGGCTTTAGTTACTTTGGAATAATTTATTTCTAAAGCCTTAATTTAAAAAAGAATCGGTTACTAACTTAAGTGAAATTACGGGAAGCATCATGTCACTCGAGTAATAACCCGTCAGAGAATGTTACATAAAGAGTGCTGAACAGTGGAATGGGAGGCTACAGATGCAATTATTTTTTTTCTAGCCCTTTACTTCGGGCCATAGCTAACCAGTCGCTATTTATACATAGGGTAGCTTTTGCAGTATTTATTTCTTTAAATATTTAACAGTTTTGACAGGCGGTGACTGGTAATAATATGTAGAGTTTCTAGCATGTTATGAGTGCTTAATAAATGTTAAACAATAAAATCGTGTATGATGAAAACCAGCAGTCAGTAAAACTATTATGGTCTACAATATTTTAAAACCATAGTAGTAACTATTTCAAAAAATATAAAAAACATAATGTATTGGTTAAATCATGATATTAATAATAAAGGAACAGTTATATTCACTAAAAAATCCACCCAGGTAATTTCCTCTTAAATTCCTTAGGGATTGAAAGAAGGCACAGGGAAAGTGGATAGAGTATGGATTAAAAAACAACTTTAAAAAATACTTTTCAAAAGCCATGTGAAGTTCTGCTGATGACAAAGCGGAGTAGCAACGTCCTGTACCATGGGTGCTCTACGCGCCTTCAAAACTCCCTCCACTCCAGCACCAATGAGCGAAGCCCTCCAATTTTCTAAACACCTCCCAGCTTTGACGGACTTGGTTTTGGACGAGGAGGCATCCAGGTGTATGTGCGCGACACCTCCAGACGTATACCAGGACCTACTGTTGGCGACAAGGCGCTCTTATAGCCAGAGAGGACGTTATTTCTACCTACGCAAACCCAGGAAAACGTAGGCTGGGCTTGGGAGCCTCGGCCGCTGCGCTTCCTGAATCTCCCGCGCAGCCTTCAGCGGCCAAAACACTCGGCGGCCAGGGCTGAGGACCCCGCGCTCCAAGTTTGGGGAAGGAAGCAAGAAAAAAAATAGAGCTGCTCCTTTAAGAACTTCCTTTCCCTTTTACTCTATGTTTACATAACACAGGGGCCGATCCACCGCCCCGCCCGAGGGGACCCGAGTGGGCGCGAGCGGCCCCACGCGCCAGGGAGGGGGCGCCCCGCGAGCCGGGGGCGGGCGGCGCTCTCCGCGGGGGGCGGGACGGCTCCCACCTGCCTCCGCGCCGGCGGGCGGCCCC